TTGTAGTAAAGGTCTCATTTATTAACAGCGATGCATAGTCAAAATGTAGGGATCACCTTTTTTGCGTTCGGTGGGCTTGTTATGATACTTTGATGTAACACTCGTACAATATAAACATTCTCAAGGATGATATTATTGGAGGGTTTTTTGTTTATTCGAATCACCATCAAACATGTTTTAACGAGTGCTCTACTGTCACTTGTTGACGTCTCCTATTTGCAGATATCAGTGACTCTCTTCGTACTGATTACCTTGCCCTTACATCAGTGGTGCACACGAGAGGCGCTAACCTTACATATCTAGTGTGGACGTGTAAACAAAAGATGTCCACACGACGCAGGAAAGGAAGACGTTCTGTGGACTTACACATGTCCACAGGACGTTTCCCCTTCTCTGAAAAAGAAGTTTAGAGGCTTTTTTGGGTAGGGGTCATATCTCTCGTAAAAGGAAGAGGAATATTCAAGGAAACCTTGTACACAAAGTCAGCTGAAAATCGTGTTCCCAGTTCAAGAAAAAGAGGGCTTTCACTGAGTTTTCTTAACTGCACGGAAAGAAAGGTATGTCCACACTAGGTATGTAAGGTACGAGTTTGTGCACGGGTCAAAAAACACACGTCCTTTTTGCACACAAGTTCCGTTTTGGTCAGGTAACAGGTGCAAATCATCACAATGTTGATTATTTTAACAAAAAGGCCCAACGTGCTCAACACACGACGCATTGGTCACTTATTCGTTGCACGAAGGGCGTGTACATCGGCAGGGAATCAAATTAGGTAATCCCGGAGCTAACAGCTTAATTATTGATGATCCTCGACATTGTTGTTAAATCGACATCTGTCGTTTATGATATACGCGCACAAAATTGCAGTGATCATTCACGTTGCACGTGCTTCAGAGTTTACCACGGGCCATTCATTTCAATTCTAATTTGCTGCTTCCAGCCTTGACACAGACTGATTATGTCCATTGGAAACCAAAACCATTTAATAATTACTGAGAACAGTTGATTACATTACCAATGGTTCAGAAGGGCTGGAGGACTTACTAGTCCACGTTGACTGATATCTATAGTGAGGCCATTAATTTTGTATGAAGAATATTTAATAATTGCCTCCGTCGAAAGGTTGCAAAACACGTTTCCAGCATTAAAAACCCCTTCAAACCGCAAACTATAGTATTCTTCTTAGTAAGATCAGTCTTCTCCTAATTGGAAGGCTCTCAACTTTGTCGTCCTGTTTGTGTATTCATTGCACCTATTGATGTCTATTCGTGGTGGATAACAAGGCTAAAATTCAGATTTAATAATCAATTTCATTTGTTTGGATGTCCATGTATGCATGTACAGTCAAAAAAACCCATAAGTGTTCACTACGTCACCCCGCTGAACCTCCTCGATTTGTGGGCGGGCGGAAGCGGCGACAGGAGTTTCAGATCCAAGGGTAGTAGAGTCCAGCATTGCCTAAACCCCGAGGAAGGGGATAATGGAGCGGTGGTGTGGCAGGCAAGTGCGCAGGAAGGGCTGAATCCTGAGGGATGCGGATATTATCCTCCCCGCCCCCACACACACTTTTTTGACCAGGAGTGGGCTTTTTGAATCATGGCCCTTCCCCCGCTTTTACGTGGTGAGAAAACTGAGGCTGATGTGAAGAAATTTTAGGACTTTTCAACAATCAAAATTTATTCAAAAGCACTCAAAGAGGCGTGAGAAATAATTTTAAAAAACCATGAATATCCCTTTCCGATGTAAGATTCTGCAGGAATGTAATTAGTCTACATCTGTATCATGGACATTCCCCCCCGTACCAGTGTCATATGGTGTTAGCATCCAGTTCCCTTTTCAAATTTCCATGGCCAAGTAAGTAATCCCCTACAATTCCCCATCCCCTATCCAATTTCAGGCTCAATTTACGCCACTGATCAAAGGTGGCCCGATGGTCCTGGTGAAAGTGCTACGGATGGATGGTCAACCGGGCGAGCAGCGAGCCAGTGTTTATGCCGTACTTACTTACCGTACATGCTTTTAAATTAAAAAAATTAATACTTAATTTCATAATAATACATAAATGGTATACTATACAATCAGACATGAAATACCTGGCATTTAAATGAAAAGCTCATAATATATAGGGCAGGTTAACTGCGTAAATTGCTTTAAACCGGCAGTATTTTTATTACTTCAAAATCTCAATAGTGTGTTTTGACCAGTTCAGTCTGCAACCTACCAGGACTCAATCAAAATGTGTCCTTTCACATGAGATCTCCAACATCAACATTGGGTTTCAGTAGGCGCAGTGTTTTCTAGGGATACAGACCTATGATGGCGAGGAACTAGTGAAAAACTTGTTAGATGATGCAAACTGTGCCACTTTCTCACGATTCCAAGCTCCCGAATTCTTTTAGCAGTTGCAGATAGGTATACCCAAATCTGGTATTCGTTTCTGAGCCCATTACTTACAAGAACAAGTGCGCGGAAATCGCATTCCCACACAAATCCCAAACTCTCAGTAGGCCCATAAATTAAAGTAGTAACCTCGACGTGTACCTCCGCCGCCGATAAACCTGAAGAAGACAAACTTGAGGGATGCATTCCACCAAATCGTTGGATTTCTGCGCGAGCTCATTAACATTTTGTGATCCCACGGGGTTTTACAATAAGACATGTCATAATCAAGAGAGATCATAGAAATATTTCTGTAAATTCTTAATTTTGGAACTGGTGGTTTCCGCTTCGAGGTATTTCTTTTACAAAAATCCCTAAATTTTTGGCCTATTTTGGATAGAGGCGGGCGGCTACATTCAGAATTGAGCGTATAATTTTGCTATAATTTTTTAGGGGGGAGAGGTTATCTTCAGGGAAAGGCGATTAAAACAAATTTCGCGGCTAACCCCCATAAAATTGAAACAAAAAGTGATCTTCGGGCCCTAATCTCGAATTTCCAGCAAAAAACGGAGGCCAACCTCTTCCCGAGAGTCAACAGGCGGCGCTCTTTCGGTCTGATTTTGCAATGTTTTCTATGGGCGCGTACGTATTTGGGGTAGCGCAACGTGTAGAAATACCGGTACGGGCGATAATGCGCCATCACAAGGCGCGAATCTGTCGACCCTTCCCAAACGCGCAATGGGTCGACAGATTTAATGCACTATGATTTGTAAACGCATTGCAAGCTCTTGGAGGCGCACTTTCATGAAATGCCCGTATTCTCTGAAGAATTTGATTAAGATGTTTATGGAGAGCCAGCTCTGCCAACCAATTACGATGCCATGCCTTTCTACAGAGATCGATGAAGTTATGCCAGAGCATAACATCCGTAGAGGATGTCGAACGTACATTTGATCATTTGTGCAGTAGCCCATGTGTCTGGCACAAAAACAGATACCAAAAATAACAGAAAATGGTCTGATTTGAAATCGGTACTTTCCTAACTACTACTTGAACTTTTAAATTAGCGGTTTCTGCTGCCATGATATCCTGGTCAAAAACATGATACCAATGATTACGTTACGTCTGTGCTGATTTCTTTCTTCAACTTTGACTGGGTTTGCATCCAAGGTGGTTGTTCAATCAATCCTTCAGTCAATATTTTTGCAAGTCCAATCCAAATCACGAGTCAACTTTTGCAAGTCTAAGCAAGTCACAAGTCATTTGGTCCAGTCACAAGTAATCTGATCACAGGTCAAGTCAAGTCATGAGTCATTTTGGTCCAAACACAAGCAAGTCACAAGTCTTTTTGTCCAAGTCAAGTCTAGACTTGACTCAAGTCGGGGTCTCTGTGATATCTTCGTTTCTACGTTGGATACATATCGAGACAGGGCGCCGTTACTTGCTTCGCGCCCTCTTGTGCCCACTTATTACTAAGAGTTTAGTTCAGAATTACGGTGACTTCACGAATCTGCCAACCGTTTGTACACAGCGAATGGGCTCATCTACCAAAAGTGGTAGCAGCCAACCACATTGCCATATGTTTTTACGTCGTTCATACGTGGATTGTAATGAACGAGTCTACAAGTGTGACTACTTTGATAGGAGGAAATTCCGTATATATTGTGCAAGATCATGTCGTTCATATGCAATTATAAATAACTACATATCACCGATATGGGGTCCGATTGGCTTATCCGTCAAGTTACTGACTGGTGACGTATGACACACATTGTACAATAAAGGACGCGTATAAGGGTTATGCGAGCTGCTGGTGAGGCAAAAGACCCTTTTCACCCACGTGACTAAATATAAACAATGAATACCACCACGTGTGCACCGCCTTGGTCACGGCGATCGCATATATTCCCACGGGCAGCTTCAACCACGTGCAAGCGCTCGTGCAAACGCTGCATGCTTGACTATAGTTTATCTTGTATAGATAGATTACCATCACGGCAACGCTATGCACTCATTACCATCACAACACATCTTATAGGTCCAGCACGATCGTCCCTGGAAAAAGGTTTCTAAGCCAGACATGCATGACGTCACTATGTAAAACTCTCGCATGAATAGAAAACCGTTTACAGCACAAGTATCTACCTTTAAGCATGTGAAAAAACTCTTGTCGCCAAACTGCCACAATAGCTAGCTAGTATAGTAGTATACCATAGTTGAACCAATTACGGTCCTGAGTTCGATTCTCTTTGAAACTGCTTTTTCCAGTACTGTATTTCTTCACCAAATGTTTTTTTCAGTTAAAGGAAAAACGGTGCAGTCCGGGACCCAAGAACCTCATAAGTGACTGTACTAAAAAGCAGACGATACGAGTAGGGCCTACAGTCACTCGTCAGAGTGATTCTAGTCTACAACTTTGCAGTCCTGTTATTGAATGGCATTGTTGCAGACAAATAGGCCAGAAACTACCAGGGCAGACCAAACCTGAAATCTCGATTTTCATGCTAACAATTTTTTTTTTTGCTATCAGAGCATTTTGGAGGGTTTGTAAAAATGGCGGTTGGGAGGTACCAACAAGACTGCCGTCTCACGTTTCTGAGAAATTTGGACATGCTCTTCCCAAATGGTATAATATTAAGTGATCAAACTTGGACGTAATTGTTTTATTTTCTAGAACATCTGTAGGCCAGTTTGTATCTGTATATACGGCAAAGCGTCCAGGGTAAACATCACTTCAAATGTGTCCCTTGAACCACCGAAAACTAAAACAGAAAATGAAACATGAGGAAGTACGGTAACTTGATGCGTCTGAACACCCGCGTCTGTGAAAATTTTCTCGCTTTTTGAAGTGGGCGTATATCGACCCCAACGCCCTCAACATAACAGTGTTGGTAACAATTTCGTTCTCAATGGCGGTGATGGGTTGGATACCGAAGAGTCAGGCGTCACAAGACAAGCATGTGGGGACAAGGTGCTTCCGCATGTCAAGATGCAATCCTTTTCAACGTAGTTAAAAACCCGCTGAAGTAACTTCCCGAGTTGTAACGCAATCTGCCGGAGGTGATTTCTTCCAACTTACTGTTAATTATGCTGGCGTGGTCTTCAAGGTGTACTATGCAGTTTAAGCAGTTTAACTGGCAGTAGATGCACTGATAATATGTCACAAGAAATATCGAATTCTTCAGCAAGTGGTCGAGGTCATCCAACGGCGGCCGATGGAGGGAACGTTGGTCTTCAAGCTTCGAGTAAAAATAGGGATGGAGTTTTAGATGAGGTCAAACTGGACGGAGTCAAATGTAAGAATAATTATTGTGTGTAATTTTTGAGGATGCACCAGAGATTAAGTGGCAAAAGTAAGCATTGCTTTTTCAAATTGGATGTACATGTACATACAACATGGGCGCCGTTAAATATATTCGGCCAAGGCCTTACTGCCTCGTGCCCTATCAGCTTACCAGCCTAGCTACGGACACAGTCAGGTAGGCCTACTAGTACAAAAGTAGTAGGCCGGGGTGCTTCCTTGCCTTGTGTGTCACTAAGTCACAGTACAATCAGACCATAATATCCACCATTTGTTTAAAAATCAAACTATTTGCTCACTAACTCTGTGATACTCTGTGTGACTTAAGGAGACAACTTAGTTTTATATGGCGCTAGGCCTATCATGCCCATGGGGTTTTGGAATCGAATTTTTGTGGTGAAATGGTTCACAGCTGTAAGAAAGCTACATGTACTAAATAAAATTTTCCCCCGTCAGCATACCTGCTTAATTTTTACCTCCCAAAAAGGAAATAACAAAAGTTTCAGAGCATGAGACGGAGTACTTTTGAAAAAAAAAAATGAGATTTTTGCTCAATTTCGATTTCAAAACCCCATAGCATTACAATGCCTTATAAACCCTGTCTCCTCAAAGTCACACAGAGTTAGTGACTTACAGTTCTCGAAGTACATCCATGATATCAGGCTGATGGGCCATATTACCGTTTTTGGAGAAGTCAAGGGGAATGAAATCGTGTTTTTATTCCAGAGAAATCGTGTTTTTAACCAGATAAGTCATGTTTTTAACTAGAGAAAAGTACCTACCGTAAGCAACTTGTGATCCTGGTGCCCTGCTGTACCCATACACTGTACATTTTAATGTGTAAGGCCAATGTCGGTGACCATCTTCAGACATGGGCCGTACATGTATGCGTGAACAGCATGTACCGTACCCTGTACATATACGTACATGTATGTACATGTACCCTGTACGTACCCTGTACATGTTGTATTTATCCAGGGCTGGAGTATCCAACACAAGAAATGTTCGGATATGTTCAGTGCTGAGCTTACAGAAATACCACATGTATGCCAATATCAACAGTTTAAAGAAAAAAAGCGGTTTAATTCTCTGTAAATGATTATTCCAGCGGCATTAAAATTCGACACAATTATATGATGCAGTGTACCAGTAGATGTATGTGGACATTTTGTTACTTTGAAATGTAAACTGCTACTTTGAGCCCATCCAGTTTTGCTAGCTGTGTACTTGCCTTGTGCATGTATGGTACCTGTAGCTGTAGCTTAGTGTCAGCGTGAAATTTGAGGATCCAGCCTACCAGCACTACGAAATTGGTGCTGCTTACAGCAAAATAGGGACTACAGAACACTGGTGTCTCGGGCCCATGGAACACTAGTCCCTAGGGCCTACCATGCCTACAGGAAATCGGTGCCTATAAGGGCCTGCAGAACACATAACTGTGTCCAGCCTGTATTATTATGTACAAATTGAAGGAGGTTACTGGTATTGATTTCTCCTTCAAAGGCACTTGAAGTAGTCACAAAATTAATTCAGTTCAAGTTTGCAGTCTGTGCATGGCTGTGCACAGTTCTTGCCTATAGTATTGACTGTACATAGACCTACGTTGAGTTCAGGTGGCCTCCCCATTGTGACTTTGTATGGTACCATACCTGCTTTTTATATCCTTTCTACTTCAAGGCAACAAAGGTTTTGGCAACACACAAGATGGGGTTTCATTGGAGATCAAATGCGTCAATCAGATTGTCCACAAGCAGTATCGATTTTCCGATTGTTTCTCTCTGCGCGCAGTTGCTTTAGGCAATAGGTATGTGCTACTCATATCAAATACACGTGTACCGCGTAATTGATGCAACAGGCTGGCAGTCACACGTGCATGCATATTTGTACACTTTTGGAAATCCAAGAAATTCATGAACCTTAAAAAATGATTTAGAATATGAACATGTACAGCATGTAAATACCGTATCTGAGAAGGGCATTGTAAGACAGCACGATTACAAGCACATGTACATGTACCGGAACCTGTTTGTACATGTACCGGTACATGTACATGGAGCTGGTACTTGAAATACACGTACTGTGTCACCAGAATTGGATTATTTTAAATTGACCTCGACTAGAAATACAGTGTACAGGCCGGAGTGTGATATGTCAGGATAAATTCTTGCATACTGAACATTTGTAGCTTTTGCAGCAGTGTGTTGTAAATTATCTGTTTTCAAGGCAGAAATCTCAATCCAGTGCTCTTGTTGTACTGTACATACATGTACATGTACAGTTCTGTGGAAATGCATTTATAAATGTAACCAGGGTATACCCCTTTAGGTCTGCGATTTTTTCAAAAATACATATGGGTTTTGCCCTTATACTGACATACATGTTTGGAAATGCTGTACCAAAAACACTGTACTGTACATGTACCGGTATGCACTGTCCACATGTACATGTACACATTTGGCCACACATCAGTGAATTTTATTAATCACTTGTCACACCACACCTTCATGTACTTGTACATGTACAAAGTACCGGTACATGTACATGTGCGCTGTTGTGAATACCAGTACAGTGTACACACTTGTAGTCAATTTCAAAGCCAAATGCATCCAATTTCCGTACAAGTGCCTGCGTACATACATGCTGATGTGTGGTGATTGGTACACGCACATGTACTCCCATTACTTGTATGTGCCACATCGTGGAGAGTCCTCACATGTACATGTACATGTACATGTAGGCATGTGTTTAGATTTCAAGTTAACCCTAACCTTCCCCAACCACACAGAATTAAACAGTAGTAAAGTGTTTAATTCTGTGGGGATAGGTCTGGTAGGCCCAGACAGCTGGCTTTTGCATTCGGTTTGGCATATCTCAGAAAAACGAAGTCCAACAGCCTCTGTGCATAAAGTCCGATATGGGTGTTTAATTTTGTGTGAATGGGGAAGGTTAGGGCCAGCAACCCTTCAGGGTTAGGGTTAAGGACATATTAGTCCAGCGTTTTAGTACATTGTATGATGTATTGGTCAGCGTAACCTTCCCCCCTCTCCCATTCATTCTCCATTCTTGCGTACAACACCATTATTTTGCCTACAAAACTGATTAATGGTGGTTGACTGACACGCCCTCCCCCAAACCTTGCATTGGCATTGTTCTACCGGAACCTACATGTACATGTATAAAAACAGAGCTCAGGATTACAGAATTGCAGCTTCATCTCTCTCTGTGGCTTCCTGAGTCGTGACTTCATGAGTTTCCAGAGATTGCTGTTCAGCTATTTTGATCAATTTTTTGGTGAACTGCAAAAAATATGATAAAAAGTTTAAAATAGTTACCTATTTTTTTTATTTCATCTGAACATCATACCAGTACATTATACAAGAAATAATGGTATGCATACCAGTACATTGCAATGGACAATTCCGGCCAAGTATTAATCATGCATGCACACTGTACTGTACCATATGTTTCTACATGTACAGTGTACTGGTATATGGTGCATGCCTCTAACCCGGTAGGGTGTTGGCGACACCAACAACGAAGCAGAAATTGATTAGGAGAATAAATGCAAGCATATACACTGTATGTATGATAAAAAGTAATCTATGATACCAAATGCAGTATGCCTAAAACATAGATTATTGGAGCTGCAGTACATGTACACGTCTACATACACTACAAAATGCGTATATTTGTATTGGTACTTTGAAATCCTCCAAACATGTGGCCTACATTTTGTAAATTTGTTTAATGTACACATGGTAAAATGACTGCATGGAGAAAGAGCACAGCTGCATACTTTAATATACTGCTATAAGTTTCAACCTCAGGTTTAGTGAAACACCGTGTTTTGAACAGAAATTTTTACGTACCAGTACATGTACATGTACCAGTATACCGGTTCAGAAAACCAGACCCATATAGTCGATATGATTAGCTAAAATTGAAATTTTGTACAGGTCAGTCCACATGGAACAATACATGCTCATCTGTGCAGATTTACATCATGTGGAAGTATTTTTGCTATCAAGATAAAAAGTCCACAGTTACACCAGCCTACAGCCCCCAAAATCTGTAAAGCTGATAAATGGATGTCTGGAAGATACGCAAAACAAGACTGACATTCCATCTGGCCGGCATGCTGTCCCTGTCAGATTAATGAGCCAGGGTAAAAGGACTGGAGAGTGGGCAAAAGAGGCTGTGTTCCTGCACAGTGCCTGCCCTTTCAGGCATATCAGGTACTGCGGCAATGCGATGTCAACCAATGTGATGACAACCGGGTAAATCATTACGAACACAGCAATCACATGGAGGAGAAAGTGATTCTTTGAAAGTCGCCCAAAAGGAGGTGTGTACATGTACGTCTCTGAGGCTATTTTTTCCGTTGAATCTTTATAATATTTGCTTGGTTCCAGATGTTGTGTGTGTACCTGTAGGGACTTGTACATTGAGTGTAGACTTTTTTTAATGAGCTTGAATGGTTGGGAGGCCAGTGAGACAGTAGTGATGATTGTACCATATGGTTGCAAATTGTGTTCTAGTTCATGGGCTGAGATTTTCTTGAACATTACCAAGTTATTGGCAAAGATATATTTGTTTTTGCATCTGAGTGAAATGACTGTTTACCCAGTTTATACTGGTACAATTGAATCTTTTGTTTTAATGGAGTGTTACTGTGAATTTGTTTAATGTGTACATGTACATGTAGGTATTAAGTTACCCGGTATATGTACCTTTTCTGCACCATTTGAAAATGCTACTGTACATCTTGAATCAAAATATTTGAGCCACTTTTCCTGTAAGTGAAATTTTTGCTCTGTACACGTACATGTATGTACATGTAGCTTTATTGAGTATCACTAATCATAACGGTATTTGTTTCACCTTACCTTCATCATGCCACAAACTCATTGTGATGTGACAAATGTCACATTTTTATGTTTTTTGGAAGTCTGGCAATTTACAGTTCAATTTAAATTCATGGAACTTTTTACTGTT